TTCTTAATGCCGCGACCCTTTAATACAGTTCCTCATGTTGTGGTGACCCCCAACCATAAAATTATTTTTGTTGCTACTTCATAACTGTAATTTTGCTACTGTTATGAATCGTAATGTAAATATCTGATATGCAGGATGTATTTTCATTGTTACAAATTGAACATAATTAAAGCATAGTGATTAATCACAAAAACAATATGTAATTATATATGTGTTTTCCGATGGTCTTAGGCGACCCCTGTGAAAGGGTCGTTCGACCCCCAAAGGGGTCGAGACCCACAGGTTGAGAACTGCTGCTCTATATCCTGGATTGTGGGAACATGGGAAAGGATAGTAAAATTAGTAGACCCAAGGATGACCTCATTAATAGTTAATACTTACTGACATTCCTAGGAACCAGCCCTTCTCTACTCCCTTCTCATCCACAACCTCATGACATGAAAATGAAACTATTCTACATGTTTTACTTTTCTCATTTAGTCTCTATAATGACTCTTTGAGTTGGCCCAACTAATATCCACATTTTCCAAGAGGAAACTGAGACATAGAGAGGGTAAAAGCTAGCTCAGGACCACACAGCTAGTGCAGGGTGGAACTGGAACTCAAACCCGAGAGTCTGACTCCAGTATTGATGCTCTAAATCCCTACACCGCGCTGCTTTCCGTAGCTGTTGCTATGGAAACAGGAGCCGTCACGGGGGTCGCAGGAATGACCGCAGCCAGCACAGTAACAGCAGGAGCTGAAGTCTAGGATTATGTCGCCGGCGCCAAGTGTGAACTCACTCGCCTGGCACAGGCACTACTGTCACCCCAACCTGCAGAGGAGGAAGCTGAGGCCCAGGAAGTTTCGGTAATTTGTCCAAGGTCAGATGCAGGTAAGTCACAGAGCTGAACCCAGGTCTGAAGGTCCTGGGGCCTCACCTTAACCCCACACCCCTCATCCGCCCTTTTCCCTCACTTACTGGTGACCTGCAGAGCCCACCTTGGGCCGCAGGTACTCAAGGGACACAACGTGCAAAAGCAGCATGTGCACCGGCCCCTGGGAGCCCAGAGCCTGGGGAGAGACAGAACTCAACCAGGTGCTTTCAGGAGTGACCATCAGTGTTGTGATTCGGGAAATACGCCCGCCATGCCGTGGGCACTCAGAGTGGGCTCAGAAACGCCTTCCCAATGGGAATGTCATCGATGTAGTCTGAAGGGGGAGGGGAGGGGAGTCAACCGGAGACAAACGGGCAGGCACTCTTCGGGACGAAAAGAGCTGGAGGCACTTATTTACTCTACAAAAACCACACTCAGTTACCCCCTTTTTCTCTTGATGTGAATATCCTCCAAGAACCGTGCTGGTGGCTTTAATGGAATTAATCCCTGGAGAGCCTTACCTCGGGGGTCCACACACCACAGCCCATAGGCCAAACGCAGTCCAACACTTGTGTGTTTGGCCTTCAGGCATAAAATCATTTTTACATTTTTAAAGGTTGAAAAAAAGAATGTGAGCAGAGACAGTATGTGGCCAGCAAAGCCTGAGCTACTGACCCTTTACCGAAGTTTGCTGATGCCTGACATAGGGATGAATGTCTGGGAAGGTGTGTGTGTTAGAGAAAGGCAGGAGGAAGGAATGGAGAGAGGACCCCACTGCTGGCCAGGGGCAGCTGTTCCCCAAGGCACTCGTCTCCTTCTCACCCGTACACCGAGGGCTCCAGCCTTCCAATTCCCACCTGTCTCTTCAGGTCCAGACCCACAGGCCCAACGTATCTGGGGCATCGGTGTCAGGAATACAAACTGAATGTGCAAACCCTAATGCTTGGCCTTTTCCCTGAATCTTGTCCTGGTCTGTCTGTGCTTACTAACGACCTCCTGTCCTACCCCTGAGCAGCTGTGGCTATCAAAGTCTTTATTCCAGAAATAGCCTCCTCGCTGGTTTCCCTGTCAGCCTAGTCAATGTACCTTTTGTAACGGTCATCAGAATGGTTCCTACAATAGATCATGCCCATCTTGAATCTGCCAATGGCTTCCCATCTTTTAAATAATATATAAATTTCGTGCTTTGAAAAAATACTTCAATCTATCCTCAGCTTTTCTTTGTAAGCCCTCTCCTATCCTGCAGTGCAAACTTTCAGCTTCACACACACCGGAGCCCTCACCCTCTCCCCGAGCTTCTGTCCTCCTGCCTTTGCACACTCCCTTCTTTCAGAGTAGATTGCTTTTCCTGGCTCTTCTCTTTGTGATAATCGCCCTGCAGGACCCGACTAGGGACCTAGGGACACTGCTTAAAGGACCTTCTGCCAGCCCAAGTCAGGATGATCTGGCCCTGGCTACATTTACTAACTGCATTAACGTTGTACGTTCACTAATCTCTTCCTAGCTAACCTGTTTATTGAACAAATACTGGTACATAGTAGGGCTGTTAAGTGGGTTTAGCTGAAAAAAAAAAAAAAGCACCTTGGAACATCATTCTGAATCACAGGCAGCCCCTGCCTCTGGCACCCGTCACTTCTGCTCTCTGACCACCTGTGACCTAACTCCCAGTCATTAGCTTTGTCCTCCCGTCTGCAGCACCTGCGGGAATCAGAGCTCCTCACCGCAGAAGCAGGGATGGAGCGGAACATTCACCCAGAGAATGCTGGGAATGTCAGTTTGAGATAAACAACACATTTACAGGACGAGAGGAAGTCAGAAATGCTTAGGCTATTTTATGATATATTAATTCCAGGCAAAACCTGGAATTTACTCATGAAAACAAAACATCGATTGTGCTTACCTTGGCTCAAGTAACTTAGTTCTATTTAGGAACACGAATAAACAGACCTAGGATTCAGATTTTTGCACCACTCAGAATGTCCCCAAATTCACCCAATCTTAGTGAGCTTTTAAGGTCGCCAAATGTGGTGGCCTCACAGATTAAAGAGGAAAGTCCTCGTTAGTTACAGAATTTGAATTCAGATTTGGATGGCCTTCAAAGTTTCTGAGGATTATATTTAATGGTACTCCAGAAATTCACAAACAGTGGAGATAAGTTTTCACACTCACGAAATCTGGTCGGAAATTGTTATGATATTCTTGTTGGGATTTTAAAAATAGTTATTTCTAAGATAACTTTGTAAAACCTTACAATAATGTGTTAGTTAGATCCTCAATGCCTAAGATGATGTGAGGCGAATTAATATTATTCAAACCAGGCAAAGAGTTGGGAAGTATTTAACTGAGAAAATTTACCACCCTACCACCTCTACCCCGTTTTTCTACTCATTTCTGGAAACAATTGGAAATACGCCCACGGCACA